GGCTCCTACATATTCTACGAAGATCTTTATCGGTCAAACCGCATAACGATATACGTTGTTCCCTTTGTCATCGGTATGTTACTTGCCCGAGATTCGATCGTTGGTATCTCAATACCTAGTTCAATGTCGTTACCGGCAAGTCTCTTTACTCGTTCCGTAATGCATCATCCCGCAACTAACTCATTAGTCATATTGCTTGCAAGGCTTATATTGATGTGCATTACCGAGAGGGCCCAGAGATACCTCTCTGATAGATGGAGTGACAAATCCTAATCTCGATCTATGCCAACTCAACAAACACCATTGGAGACACTTGTAGAGCATCTTTATAATCATCCAGTTATGTTGTGACGTTTGATAGCACACAAGGTGTTCCTCCGATATTCGGGAGTTGCATAATCTCATAGTCAGAGGAACATGTATAAGTCATGAAGAGAGCAGTAGCAATAAAACTGAACAATCGTTATGCTAAGCTAACGGATGAGTCTTGTCCATCACATCATTCTCTAATGATGTGATCCCGTTCATCAAATGACAACACATGTCCATGGCTAGGAAACTTAACCATCTTTGATTAATGAGCTAGTCAAGTAGATGCATACTTGGGACACTCTGTTTGTCTATGTATTCACACATGTACTAAGTTTCCGGTTAATACAATTCTAGCATGAATAATAAACATTTATCATGATATAAGGAAATATAAATAACAACTTTATTATTGCCTCTAGGGCATATTTCCTTCATCAAGATCATCGAAAGTCTTACGAATTTGCACGAAAATTATCGCATCCATCTAGTCCTCATTCTTCCTCTAGTCCTTCTGCTTACTATCCCAGAATTCACGCTTGGTTGCCACGGCCTGGTTATTGACCTCGGCGTACTTAGTCATGGCCACCTCATCCATCTTGGCCAGTCTACGTGCCTTCTCCTCATTGTGGGAGTACATCCAATAAGGAGGGGAAAGGAATGTTGCATCCTTGGTATCTTTGGAGAATTTGAGGTCGGTTGGGCCCTGCCCATACATGCAAGCCACCGCATCATACGCACGCGTGACAAGCTCTTGGGTATCGAACGTGTCGAGCCACAAATGATCACCATCACAGGTCATCTCGGCGGCGAAGGGGCACAACTCCCGGAGTTCAACCCCCACGAAACCCGCTCGCGGGAGGGAAACACAGCGCCATCCTCCTGCAGGAACCCCGTATGACAACGGTCCCGGTGTCAAACTTGATTTTCCAACATTAAATAAGAAGTGATGAATACACAACCCTATCACTTTCTCTCTTTAGTAGAAAGGTCGACTATTCAGCATGTGGGTTGACTTTTAGTCCATCGATGCTCCTTTCAACAACTCCCCCCTCTCAAGTGGTGGTATATATGATGGGGCACTCTCGGCCTAGTATTTTGATTATCAGTGGCGGTCGTTACTCTCGCCTCTTTATACTTTACCAAGGTCTCAGAGGAAGATACGAGGAGCAATGACCCCCTACGACAACATTCGGTAGCCTTCCTCTTAGAACAACATATCTCATCTCTCAATTGGTTGTATATATGATGGACAGTCACTCACTGTTAGTTCGACCATCGGTGTTGATCTTCCTTCCAATTCTCCTCTTGATTTACCAAGGTCTCATAGGAGGAGAATGGGAATGACGACCCCCTATAACAACAGCCATTATCCTTCCTTTGAGAACGTCTCTTCCAATGGGAGAACCATCAGACTCAAATTTAACACACATATTGAATATCGACGCAAACTTGTGGCCAAAGTTGTCGGAATTGTGAACCCGAATCGGATAGGAGCTCTAATGGCAAGATAGTAAATCGTTGAATCTTAACTATTAGGATCGTAGAAACATAGATTCTATGAACCAAAATCGTAGAATCAGAAGGATTAGCTTGGATCGTAAAGTTATAGAATTGCGAGACAACCTTGCCTGTGGCCCTAAACCCCTGCACTTAGACATAAATTTCTTTCCTACTTATAAAGATTGGAGTTGGTGGCGAGTTTGTAGGTGGGGACAGACAAATAAACAAATGCACTTGTAACCATATCTAGAAATAACAATCTTCCAAGACACATAACTAAACAAATGTTACTTTTACTAGGTTTGAGACATATCCCAAATAAACTAATGTGCTCTACCCTAGTGTGAGAATAACACTATTGTAAAACGTAGAAGCTATAAATGGAAGTATGTCATTCCAATTCAAATCATGGTCTTGATTTTAGTTTCTCTATCCAACCAATTCTTTTGATTCCATGTCAGCAGAAGAGGGCAAACAAATTATAGTTCAACATGGCGATAGATGTTGTCCTCCTACATAAGCCACGATCTTGTGCATTCAACTTACTCACACCCGTTCGCCTATGTTTCAAAACTAATATTATCTCACTGTAAATCTTGCAAAGGGCCTACTATGGTTGCCCGGGGCTCTTTATCGACTGCAGCATGTTCTTTTAGTATATGCACGCTCTCTTTTAATCAAGAACCATGCAACTACCACAAGACACCATCATATTTTGAAGATCTCCTAAGCCAGTGGCAATTTCTCATTTTTCATGGCATCATAGCAATGCATGAGCATTGTACTAATACTCCTAAACCAAATGATATTAGATCAACAAGAGCAAGAACATACCCTTCACCAAGCCATGTAATAGGATCCAAATCACATGACATCTATGGACCTAGAACAACACCACCAATCCACAGATAGGAGTAGGAGTAAGAAAAGAGGAGAGCTCACCAGCCTGAGTTGTAGCTGAGGTAGAGGAACAACCACACTACGGTTGTGGTATATCAACGCAACAGCTCGAGTATGATCACACCAACGAGCAGTAGGAGCACCGACGAGCATCACGTAGAAGGTTGAGCAGGGACACAACGAAACGCTGACAGGTAGAAATGCATCACTAGCGAATACATGGGAGAAGAGAACAAATCGATGTGGAGGAAGAGGTAGAGCTCGAGGAGAGGAGGAACCACGTAATTACCATGGCATCGGAGCATGTCGGACAGCATCAGAATCAAACGGCTATGGCTACGGGCAAAAATGGGTCAGGACGGGTGAGCAAGGCGGTGGGGCGCCGACCATGG